TTCATAAGATCTATTTTTTGAAAATATAAATTTATAAATGTTATGTATAAATAAAATCACACATACTAGCGAAAAATATTAACAGTTAAATGCAGCAAAAGGACATGCTTCTATAGTAATCATGAAAATTAAATATATGATAGAATTTATTTTTGTCATTACATTTCGACAACGTCTTATCAACTTCTTTGCCTAAATTTTAAACTTCTATGATTAATAACGCAGAGTAATATTTACGTCCAATAATGTAAATAAAATGTACTAACTTGTGTCACATACTCATTAGTGAATCAAGTCTTACATTTTCTGATTGAATACACTAAGGGCAGTGACTTTAGCTTAAGTCGTAAAAAAATTTGTTCATTGTAAAAATAATATATACATTATGAAAAATCATGAAACTTCGCTTCAACTAATTTTAACGAATATATGTTATATATGGCACGAACGAATTAATCTTCTCTAAGAAAATATCGGCCATACCTTATCCATATTTTCTTGATAAGATATTCACATATTAATTTTTCTATGTTATTAATGAATTACGCAAATCTTTAATACATATTTTTATGTGTATTAATATATATTGCTTCTTTACTAATCATTTTTTAAAAGGATAAATTTTATGAATGTAAATAATCGTGAAGTATAAGAAAGATAATGTGATTTATATTATACCCTCAGTGTAATGTTTTGCACAATATTTGATATACATCTGTATAAAAACTGAGTTCTAAAAATATAATGTAACTAGATTTGCAAAGTCGTGTGTAAAAATATCACTTTTTGTAAAGATATTTTATGAATGGACAAAATAAACATTGTTGTAAACTCAGGAGAAATTCTTTAGACTTTCAAAAAAATTAATATTTATGAAAATGACATGATTCAAATGCGCTTAACATCGTAAGGTAAATGATAAATAAATACTTATATAAGATGTTAATGTGTACGTAGATGACTAATACAAAAAACAATAACTAACTTATAACGGATCCTATTTCATTATTTATGTCTTTCTTGCAGATTCTAAAAAATATGCAATTCCAGTCAGTATATGTGTGTGTGTGTGT